GTACCCAGCAGATGCTACATGCTCTTCTTCAAATGTCACTAACTGAGAGGCGGGGTGGGCTCCCTCCCCCGGAATTGGGGGGGAGGAGGTGGGAGTGTGTTTGCTGTGACCCTCGGAACTGGGTGCAGGAGACAGCGTGCGACTTCTAAGACCAGGTCATGGGGTACAGCTTCCACTCCTCTCCAGCTAAGAGCTGAGCCCCTCCCAGTCGTTAGCGTCTCCCGCAAATGCATTTTGTCACTAAGTCATGATCATGGCGGGGGGTGCAGCGAGAATTAAGGGAGAGCACGGTTACAGGAGAAGCTTGGCACGGGGCTCCGGTGGCGAAGACACAGCCGCCTGAGCCCGGGTTGGGGGGCCGCTCGGCGGTGCGATGAGGCGAACTGGAACGCAGAGGCGTCCAGCACAGTGAGGGTCTCTCCTCTTTCACACCCACCGGAGTTCTGTCTGTTGACGCCTTGTGTGACTGCTGGGCAAGTGTGCGCGTCACCTCTCAGGTGCTTTGCTGGGCTGGCGCGGAGGGGTGGCTGTGCACGTGGGCCGAAACCATCGCCCCCACAGGACAGCGCTCGCCCGCACCACAACGTTCAAGGTCAAAGCTGCCCAGAGGCGGGAGGAGCTGGCTCTCAGGCAGTGAACTCCTCCCGGCCTCAAACGTTCAGGGATGGGCGGCCACCTGTCCGCGGTAGCGCTTCCCAGCTTTGCTGAAGGACACAGGACATACAATGATCCGCAGGTACCCTCAGGTGCCAAACCGATGGGTCCCCGTGTGCGTAACCCGCCCACAAACCCACAGCCAGTAAGGAACACACCTGTCATTCCTCCAGATTGTCTTCAGCGGATTCAATCCCTCCCCCCCCCCCCCAGGCAGCCACTAATCCGCTTTCTCTTACTACAGATCTGTTTGCATTTTATGTAAATGAAATCACACAGCTGGCACTCTATTTCCTCTGGGTTTTCCACCCAGCCTCGTCATTTGGAGATTCATCTGTGTTGTTGCATGTGTTAAAGAGTTGGGGTTTTTTTGAAAGAGAGAGAGAGAGAGATGGCGAGGGGGGGTGGAGACAGATGGAGATTCCCACGCCCAGCAGGGAGCCGAACTCAGCTCCATCCCACAACCTGGGGATCGCGACCTGAGCCGAAATCAAGATTTGGATGCTCAACGGACTGAGCCCCGCAGCTGCCCCGGGTGGGGGTGGGGGTCCTCTTTATCTTGTTGCCTAGGGTTCCGTCACCTGGATACACCACAGTGTGTTGAGTACCTGTTCATGGGAGTCTGGGTTGTTTGCAGTGTTGGAGTGTCACGAACAGATCTCCACCTGACACGTGCTTTCTTGTCTCAGGGAAGCACCCGGGGCAGAAACGCTGGCTTGGTGATCCTGGCTGCCAGCGCCCTGACGGCCGCCCGGGGAAGGTGTCGCTGGGCGAGGGTCTCATTGGAAGAATGTAGTGAATCCGGAATCCCGTGTGACTGGAGGCCGCTGGTGACTTGCAGGGTGTCGCTCGAGTGTGTGCAGGCGTGCGCTCAGCCAGTGATAGGCTGCCGTCACGCCTAGCTCCGCCTCCAGGCGCCGGACAGGCATCGGTGATTCTTTTTTTTTTTTTTAAATATTTTTATTTATTTCTAGGAGAGAGAGAGACAGCGTGAGCAGGGGAGGGTCAG